CAAAGACAAGTGAAGTCGCAATTGATGTGAACGAAAGAACAAGCGGATCGTGGCTGCGTTGACCAGTTTCGCTTGCGCGGTGATGAGTGGGCGAAACGACAGAGTAGATGCTAAAGACATGGGTGGCGAGAATGTGTTGGAGATGGCCTCGCCATCATCATTTGTCCTCTCTAATGTCCTCTCTATGAGAAGCTGCAGCTCGTCTGGTAGCGCTCGAGACGACCAATTCGGTGTGTCATCCATGCGCCGGATAGAGTCTTCAAAGTATCGATCCAGGTCTTGAGGGTTAGTCGGGACCTCAGTCGCAAACTCTGGTGCTGATTGAGTAGATAGAGGTCCTGTCTCGTCATGTGATCCTGTGCTGAAAGCGAGCAATGCTTGTCGGAGCCTCTCTTCGTACGCTTTTGCCTTTGACGCTAACATCTCGATATCTTGCCATTGAAAGCCCCAATCCATGTCCGGAGGCTGAACTGCTAACCCATCAAGGCGAGCCAGGGGATGATAGGGATGCTGTAACTTCAAGAAGCGAAGACTGTGACCTGTCTCGAATATCGTGTTGCCGTCTTCTGGGGAAATGAACCTTGGCATCATTTCAGACCTGTACGTGTAGTCCAGTGTGAGAGTATCGCCAGTGGTGTCTTCAACGGTCACAAAGCTGTTGCGTTGCCAAATAGGCGCAGACACTTGCTCTTTCCTTATGCCCATCCATTCACCGAGGAGCTCCAAGCTTGGTCTGGACACCTGACTGAGCACCTGGCATGATAGCTGTCGAAGCTGTTCATCCCCCTCTTCCAGCTCAAGCAGGCGGTGGTGTAATATGGAGGACAGTTGCTCGTTGGTTTTAGCGTGTTTGACGGCATCTGCCATACGAGCAACGTGGACCAGAATATTACGAGGCTTGGCGAACTGATGCTGAAGCTGAATGAGCGAGCGGATCTTGGTAGATTGCTTTCCCAGAGTGTCTTCCAGGCTTGAAAGGACACTCGATATTGATGTGGCCAGAGCGACTCTTGCGGCGATCGACGCGACCGAGGCAAAGGTGCGCTCTGCGAAAGAGCGTAGATAGAGGAATGTGTTGCCGATGAATGTAAAGTGCAAGATCAAGCTCTGTGCTGCTTGTAGGCTCAGTCCCGAAGCTCGTCCATCCGGTATGGCGGGCTGGAACGTCTTCAGCTTTGGGTTGAACTGGAAGAGTATAGAGGACCGGCCTAGACCAAGGTTCCAGAGCGATTGCAACAGCACATCTCCTTTCAGTATCCGACCAGCGTTCTTGCCCTCGTCTCGCACCAGCGTCGCATCGAAGGTCTCGGGGCCATGCTCGGTTATATATGGCGTCTGGCTTTCGACGTGCCTTCCCTTTTCGAACGACTCCCAAGTATAGAACAAGACATCCTTATTCGCAGGTCCCAGGTCAAGGGCTATCTTCCAGACGTCTTCTTCAGGTTCTAAGGGCGGTGTTTCGATGGGAATGCTGTCGTCGTCGAAACTGTCGAGCTCGGGTAGGGGCCCAAATTCAAACGTGTCCAGATCAGGCAGTCGCAATTCGCGTTCGAGGTCATGCTTAGGCGCGTAAGGATGGTCGAATCTGATTGAGGAGACTGTGGCTGGTCAGCAACGCGTTCACATGCTCGGACGAAAAGACGCGACGACCCACTGTCTAGCTCGAGGGGAGCGAAGAGCGACGACTCTGGAGAATCGTCGTCAAAAAAGGAAGGCTGCCTCCACAGATGCTCGGTACTGAAGACGTCGTGAATCGAATCACGCGCATCCATTGCGGCGGATGTGGAGTAGTCGAGGGTGAGGGAGGGGTATGACGCGCCATGGTTTTGGCGACTCAGCCCTACGCGGACCCTTGCGCCTTCCGTCACTGTACCTGCAGCTCGCGACTGCGCGTTTCCTTCACTCACTTCCCTTCACTCCCACCACCAAACATCACAACATGCCGCCCCGAAAGAAGGCAAAGGCCAGTGCAGCTTCAACGCCCCTGCGCGACACTCAGCCCCAAACACCGCAAGACTCTGGCGTCGTGCAGTCGCAAGATGAGCTGCTCAGCGATCCGTGGGCCGACGAGCAGGAGACACAGCTATTGAAAAGCATGATGAAGTGGAAGCCTACCGGTACGACATAGCGCACTCTATTATCAGACACGTGATTGACATCCTCAGGTATGCACAAGCACTTTCGCATGATCTCCATCCATACCGACATGCGCTCGCATGGCTTCGCGAGTGACGACGCTCCTCACACGCGCATACCCGGTGTCTGGAAGAAGCTGTCGCAGCTATATGACCTGGACGCCCTCGATACGCGCGAGAACGAGTTTGCTTTCTCCGAAGACCCCGACCCGCTAGACCCAGACGACGCCAACAACATGCCCGAGTTCGAGCTGCCAGAAGACGAGTATGGCATGCTCATGTGGCATCAGCGCTTCCATCGTGAATCTTCTGCGGCCGGCTCGTCGCCACCCATGACGCCCATCCAAAAATACAAAGATCTCTACGCGCCAGGCATCGGCCTACTGAAAGACCTCCCCGATGGCGTGCACTCGCAAAAGGCTGAGAGTGTGACCGAAGCCACTCCCGTACCCAAGAACGCAAAGAACATAAGGACAGGCAAAGCTGCAAAGGGCGGCAAGGGTACTAAGGCTGGAGCTAACGCTGCAAAGAACAGTAAGGCCCAGAGCACCGTATCTGAATCCGCAGAAGAAGAGGACGAAGATGATGACGATGAAGAATCTAGTGCCGAGTCTGAAGAAGACAGTGCGCCAACTACTCGCCGAACGAATCGCGCGAAACCAAAGCCAGCGCCTAAGAAAACGAGAAGAAGGTAGATAATTGAAATCTGGGCTTGGACAAGGCGTTTTGGTTTTATCGATACCCGGGTTCCACGTGTTCTGTCGCAACAACACCTGAGCACGTGGAGCAGAAGCGTCTGATCGCTCTCGAATACATGCACCTCATACAAGGGAAAAGCTGGACGGGTCTGCAGACTACATTAAGATGAGTACATGCAAAGTGGGTGTGTTAACATCGATGTAGACCCTAAGGTGTCCACTTTTTCTCTAGGTTGACGTGCATGTGTCATTCATATCGCCCCAGGTGATCGTTTGGTCAGATCTCACAGCATTGGGCGTTTGCAGATTCACATTGGTAGGGCGTGTTACCTCTCCGTAATGTATGCACCGTTTGTATGGTCACGGGAAACTGTTGACGAACGCGTAAGCCTTTGCTATAAAACTATGCGCGCTTCCTCTCCTCGTCCTCTCAATTCATAGAACAGGTTTCTACTACGGCCGACCATGGAGAAACTACCACAAGAAATACTCGACAATGTTTTCGTCCATATCACCCATACAGAACCGGCGCCCATTAGCGAGCGATTTGACGGACTTTGCAAGCCCTCCGTCCGTACAGTACTCAATAGTCGGCTCGTCGCGCGTCGCTGGTTCGAGTCGGATATTTTGATACGCGATTTTGTCGATATAGTCTCCCGGACACCTCTCGTGTGGTACAAACATCGACTCCCAGTACTTGAGGAGATCACTGAAATTCCAAAATACACTCGTTGGTTTAATCAGAGAATCACGATCTGTGGTATGGATCTGGGCCTTGTTACCCTCGGAGAGTACGACCGCTGGGGTACTGGGCGTGACGAGCTCGACAAGGAGAATCCAGTGACGCAGTACCTAGTACATCTGTTGCGCAAGATCAGCTGGGTAGAGCACTTTCGATACTACCCCATACACCCAAATTGCCTCCATGGAACCTGGCCCAAGTGGGAAGTATCCGAGTCAGACCGCGTTTCCCTTGAGACTTGCTTCCGAGGAGGCCCAGAACGCTCCAGGTACGGATATCCAGCACTGAAAGAAGGCGAATACTCTTGGTGGGGCGTTCAGCTGGAGAGCGGATGGATCTTCCCCAGAATCATGGAGGCATTTCAGGAGTCCCACCTCTGGTTGAAAAGTGTCGAGAGTCCATTACTCGGTAACAAGGCATCGTATTGCGCAATCTCAGGAAGGGGTGATCCCTTTCACAGCACCTCTTTTAGGGAAAGCGATCTATTGCAGTGGTTCCCGAAGACACTGACGCGCGTCGCTATCAATATCACCCGTCCCATGACTGGGCCATTGATGAACTCCGGTGGCCTTGAAGAGCTGGTAAATCTAGAATACTTGGAGATAGCACTCTCGAAGACTCCTGAGATATCGATCGGTGACGGCGGACCATTTGGTGCACCTTTTGATTTAGGCCCATGGTCCTCAGAAGTGTGGTACCGACTCGAGAACTTGAAAGAGTTCCGATTGATATCAGACTATCAGTACTCCTTCGATGAATGGGATATCCTAAACATTCTCAACTTCTTTCCGAACCTGGAGCGCCTTGCATTGGGACATATTCTTCTCGCGAGCAGTCATGGGGATTGGTGTAGTCTGCTACACAAGCTAGCGGACTTCAATTTGAAAGAGCTATGGCTGCTAGATCCTCGTCACATCGTCTTTGTCGGTCCCCAACACCACCACCAGCCTCATGTGGGCAACGATCCTGATCTGGCGATCGAAGGAACACACAATACAGACTACCACGTGGTAAAGTACGTGTCAGACGAGCACATGTTGGATGCAGCACAGGATGTGTGCGTGATCGACACAGAAATGGAGTGGCCCGCTGAGGGTTGTGTATATCCCCGGTTGAGTAGAGATTTCCGGTATGGTGGCTTTAAAATCTTCGAACAGTTCAGAGATAGCAATCCATCGTGGTGGTATTCTGCACGTTTCAAGAAGATCGGTATCGGGGCGCCGGGAGAACTATCGTCAACAGAAGAGCTCGAGGAGTTGGATTCCTGATACGGACAAGATGACTTATACCGACTTACGCCAAACACCGAGATATGTCCTGAAGGGGTTCGACATGTTTTTGACGGGTCGTACGGTACAAGGTCGCCATGACGGTCTTTTTTTTTAGCACTTGCTGCTTGCACGGAGTACCCCAGCAGTACGACCACTATATAGCCATTAGAAACTTTGTATTGACATTCAGTATCTGAGCATACCAACTGCAATCGTACTTCTCATTGCCTGTTATAAAAGTGATAGAATCGCCGGCCGCTTTGAGGACATTGTAGTATCCCCAATGGCAGCCAACCTCGCCGCTGCCGTCCCAGCTCTCCTCCCAAATACCGCCCCAGAAGTCAAGCCACTACCTCCAGGATAATTGCCATAAAACAAACCACCTAGCATCTCGCCAACACAAAACAGCCCCGTAACCTCTTTTCCTGAGTTCGATATAACAGCTGTAGTTTCCGGATTGACAGCTAGACCCCCGAACGTGAAGGTGACGCCGCAGCATACTTTGACAGCCATAAACGGGCCCTTATCAAGTGGCAGCGCCCAGTTCGACTTCGCCAATTCCAGCTTCTTCTTAGACGACTGCGTAGTAAGCCCATCCTTTACCGCCGGGTCCCACTTCCTCTTCGAATTCTCAGCCATCGCCGCATAAACCGCCTCGTTATACTCCTTCACCGTCTCCACAAACCTCTCCGGCTCAGTCAACCCCCCCTCCCCCGCCAACTTCCCCGCCAACTCCTCAACCGTCTTCCCCCAAACCTTCTCTACCCTCTCATCCCTGTACTCCTCCTCCCTCAACCACCCCACAACCCTCTGATCCCAAACCTGCCACGCCACCCCATCAGGCTGCCCATGTATCGCACGTCCAAACTTCGCATACGTGTAATTCCGCATATCGATGCCCTCGTCTACAAACCTTTTTCCCTCTGTGTTGACCATAATGCCAAGCGGATATCCCGACTTGGTGAATTCATTCGAGATAAGCCGGTCGCCGCTGTTCGCAGGCGCGTTAGCATCCCAGCAGGTAGAATGGCACCCAGACCAATTCCCCGCTTGCTTCGCATCCACGTCGCGGATAGCGTACTCGAGGACTTCGCCGGTGTTGAAGGGCGTGCCGCGGACGCGCGCGAGATCCCAGGACGGACCGAGATATTGGGCGCGCATGCGTGGATTTGCTTCGAAGCCGCCGGCAGCTAGGATGACGGTCTTCGTGGGTATGTGTGTAGACATACCCTTGTAGTCAACGACAACGCCTGTGATGGTACCCGAGGGAGAGGTTACGATGCGTTTGGCAGGCGTGGAGTAGTATACTTCGATTCCGTGTCTGCGGGCGCAGGCTTGGTGGTCTTGAATGAGACCTTTCCCCCCGTCTTGCGTCTTGAGGGCCATGCCGCCCCAGAATTTGTAGCGGCCATTCACTTTGTAGGCTTGCCGGTTGAAGGATAGTTGGTATCGGATACCGTTGTTTGCAAGCCATTTTACGGCTTCGTTGGATTCTGAGATGAGCGCTTTGCTTAGGTCGGGATCTGAACGGCATAGGCATACTCGATCCATGTCTTTCTGGAAATCGTCTTTGGTGTATGGTTCCATGTCTATGAGTTTCGCTGTTTCGGTATCGACGTTGTTGACGATGGGTAGGAGGTCGCTGGTGCCATTGTGCACGGTGCGGAAGGCGCCTGCTGTGAAGTAGCTGTTACCTCCGGCCCAATCTTCTGGTGCCTTCTCAATGAGAACAACGCGGCGTGCTCCCGCGTCTGAGGCAGCTGTGGCAGCGGAGAAGCCCGCATTTCCTCCGCCTATTACTAGGACGTCGATGGTTGGGAATGATGTGAGTTGTTTCATAATCGCGGACTTTGGAGAATATTGATTGTTCGACTAGCAGTGGACGTCTTAACAGGGCATGGTACTTGGGAGATGAGGAATCCATAAATGTTGCCCCGGAATACCTAGGTATCTAGGTGGCGCGGGATAGCTACGCAGCCAACGAGCGCGGCCCGCGTGTTGAGTCGTCGCGAGCGGTCATAGGACGGAAATATGGCCGAACTGCAGCGCTCTTTCTCCGAAGAGGCTACTTGCACGCATGTATATTGTACCTCGAAGTGTAGGCTGCACATCACGCAGCATGCTAATGCTGCCTTTCGAACATCAGGTGTCGTGGCACGGAGCTGTTCGCCCTTGGCCCTGGTAGTATGACTCGCGGCAAGCTATCCAGTCTCCTCCCCAAGTTCCGGCTGATCTGACGGAGATACTTAACATTGCAGCCGCTGTTGGCGAGAGTTATGCAGCGGGCATGAACTGCACAGGACTCAACAGTCATGATGTTCCTCCTCGTATGTGCCTACCCCACATCCCCGCCGCTTCTATCCGCTAGCGACCCTGATTGGTCAATGGCTCCCCACTGACGCTTTGTTACATGCGCCCTGCGGTCCCAGATTCATTCGCCAAGCGATATCAGGGAAACAGTCACAACAACATTGAGTCACATCTTGTATGTCTATATAACTAGACGTATCTCGTTGGACTTTCGATGATACAAACAACATTGTCCGAACGATTTGAGTTATGACGTCAAGCTCAAACAACGCCGCCCTGGAGGTCAAGACGAAGGATGGAGTCAAGTTCGGAAAGGAGCTAAGGGAGAAGGAGTTCTGCTTCAAGAAGGGATTTTTGAACTTGAACCATGGTATGTCCATACGCTCATTCTACCTTCCACCCGTGAACAGCATTGGTCTATGATCCCATTGACTTTATTTGTTTACACATATTTGGCGAGACATGCTCTCCATACGTAGGCTAATTGTGCTCAGGCTCTTTCGGTACCATCCCTCGCGCGGTCCGCGACACTATGCGCGATTTCCAGGATGAATGCGAAGGCCGTCCAGACCCCTTCATCAGATACAGATACCCTGTTCATCTCGATGAGGCTCGGGAAGCTATGGCAAAGGTACGTTACTCATCTTGATACCAATACGGGAGATCTGTGACACATACAGCTACCTAGTAAGCCTCCAATTACTCTCATTAACAATGCTATAGCTGCTCAACACACCTTCATCAACCCTGGTATTCGTACCCAACGCCAGTACCGGCGTAAACACCGTTCTTCGCAACATCGTCTTTGAACCTGGCGAGCACATCCTCATCTTCAGCACCATCTATGGAGCTTGCGAGAAGACGGTATCATACGTCACTGAGACTACCCCCGCGGAGAGTGTCAAGATCGCATACACCTATCCCGTAGAAGACGACTGGCTACTAACCGAGTTTGAGAGGAAGGTGAAAGAGGTAGAGAGCAAAGGTGGGAAAGTGCGAATCGCAGTCTTCGATACGGTGGTTAGTGCACCCGGCGTCAGGATGCCGTTCGAGCGCTTGACACAAAAGTGCAAGGAGCTTGGCGTCATGAGCTGCATCGATGGTGCCCATGGGGTAGGCCACTTGAACATTGATTTGGGTGCATTGGACCCAGATTTCTTCGTGAGCAACTGCCACAAGTCAGTCCTATCTCTCGTCACTGCATATCCAAATGTACTAATCCCGCACAGATGGCTCCACGTCCCCCGCGGCTGCGCAATCTTCCACGTCGCCCAGCGAAACCAAGACATCATACGCAGTACGCTTCCCACATCCCACGGCTTCACACCCAAGGGCGAAAAGGTCGATTCACCTATGCCAAAATCGGCGTTCGTCAGCCCGGATAAATCGCCCTTTGTCAGCAACTTCGAGTTCGTGGGTACCATCGATAACAGTCCCTACTTGTGCGTACCCGCAGCTTTGAAGTGGCGTGAAACCCTCGGAGGCGAGGCTGTCGTCATGGACTATTGCCAAACGCTCGCCCGTGAAGCGGGTAAACACGTTGCCGGCGTTCTTGGCACTGAAGTCATGGAAAACAGCACTGGTACGTTGGGACAGTGTTGTTTGTCCAATGTTCGCCTGCCGATTTCGCCGTCTCTGGCGCAAGACATCGCGACTAAGAATGGCATCGATAAGGAAGAGGTCGGCAACCTGATCAGGGACTTCATGGAGAGGCTGAGCTGTGAAGAGTATGGTACTTTCATTATGATGAAATGGTATGGAGGTGTTTGGTGGACAAGGTTGAGTGGGCAGGTGTACTTGGAGATGGCGGACTTTGAGTGGGCTGCCAAGACTATCAAGGAAATTTGTGAGAGGGTGGAGAAGGGAGAGTGGGCTGTGGCGAAGGAAAAGCTTTGAGTCGTGATCTAGATATCTGCGATTCGATTATAAAGACACATAGTTTGGGTGAAAAGGCGCATCAGCAGCGAAAGTGGTTCATTCATATCCAATGTACACTCAATAGCCATGACCGCCATGCACAAACCCGAGGCGACTCCCAAGATTCTTCCTGTGTATACTACACTTCATTCTACGTATCGAAAATGATGTTGGCACGTATCGGAAATCCCGCGGTCTCGTATAACAGTCCGTCACCTAGGCGTATCGGGATTTCTCACGGCATTTGTCGAAATCGCCACCGCAGTCCTTGCACTATTCCCCTATTGTCAGCCGAATTCAGGACACCAACCCTACAGAGTTACATGAATACATACCTCGTGGCCCTGGTAGCGGTAGACGTGGCACACATGCTCAACGCAGGTCTGTTTGCAACCGGCCTGTCCCTCAGTATGGCCGTTCTACCACCTCGTCAGTCTGGATTGCACAAAAATTGCCACCATAACCTTTCGCTTACCTGGAGACAGAAGTTGTAGCGTTCCAAACAGAAGTCGCAGTTTGCGTCGCGGGTCACGAGCGTGGTGCCCTCGTCGGCGGCGGGCGCGGCGGACACAATGGTGGCGGCGAGCGCGAGGATGATAGCGAAGATCTTCATGTTGCTTGAGAACTTGTTGTTACTCGTTAGAATCTCGATGGGTCTGAAAAGAGTGTGGGTCGAGGGCCGAGTTGTTGATGTTGACGATGAGGGAGCGACGGTAAAATGGCTGAGTGAGCGTGAGGTGTGAGAAGAATACTGTCGCGCAACGGGCTAAAGAGTGTAAAGTATGTGCTAATAGCGATTGTTCGACTTGATCGGTGGGTGTCAGCAATTGAAGGGTTGAGTGGTTACTCGTTGGTCCGGTGAAGGCACTTTACGCTGGGCCCGAGTGGCGGCGCGTGGCAACGACACAAACGGTACTGTTTTGACCTCGACGGGTTCCGCTTCAAGTCAGAATCTCTCTTGAAGATAGAATCAATGGCTGAGTGAGAGGTAGAGACGTATGTGATCGTCATCCGCATGTAAACCAGCACGGCGCAGCAATTGAAGTTGGGTTTTTGTCAATGAAATCACTGCAGCGAATTAGTCTGAATCTAGTCTCACCATGATCTTACAGCGAGAGCATGCTCGCCTCCGCCGAGTCTCGTATTGTAGGGCGCTTGCAGTATCGTCGAAAGCCACTGCTGATCCGAGCCACTTACCTCTCAAAACGAACTGGGACCTACCCAAACCGGACTACACCTCGATTAGGCTGGGTTACAAGGCCGCGAGAAAGAAGGAAGAGGCGATCAAGCCAGCGTCGACTAGAGGCGGTCTCTGCTGATCTAGACGGGAGCGCGTGCGTACCGTGTACGACCTAACTAACGGTTACGACCGTGGACTCGATGATAATTGGAGTGAAAGACATGACAGGATACGGGTAACGCGGAAGCCAAGAGATGTTCGACAATACTGAGTTTTCCATTGTTTTACTTGCTTGAATGTGCTTTTCTATCGCGTTGCTGAGAACATGTAGGGACTCATCGCCGGGATGCTGCTGGGAAGATGGTGGGAGGAGCTAGCTCCATCGCCACCAGAATTATGTACAAGGTGTAAAAGGGAAGGGGTATAGCAGCGAACGTAATCTTCATAGTAGCCTAAACTTCCGATACTAGCTCTTAGAAATAGCGAAGCAATGAACAGAGACACCAAGTCGGGTATTAGATGGTGCGGACGCCACGTGCCAACTCGGCGCGTACACGCCTCCTGTATTGGTCACGGTATTGGATGCGACCGTATGTTCCGAATCCAACGGCAAGGAAGAAGAAGAGCGCCCATACGGATGTGACAACCAAACCGATTGGGAAGAAAGCCAAGGCAGTTCCGGGGATGATGAACGGTGCGGCCGAGGAGACGGCAGCGGATGCGGATGCTGCGGCTTGGGGATCTGCGTTGGTGGGAGCGTTGCCTGCCTTGGAGAAGATACCATTGACGAATGATGCCTCCTGGGAAGAGAGAGTGGTTTCGACGTCCTGGCCGGTTGCAGGGTTTCGCGCAGCGAGGTCGATTTGCGGGATGAGAAGGGGCTGGAGGGATTCTCTGCAAATATGTTAGAGACAGAAATATGAATGACGAAGAGGGATACGTACTGGGTCATGGCTGAGCCCATCAGGTTCTCATTAATCCTTCCGACATACATGAGGACCTTGAGTTCCGTCATGCTGTTGATGTCCTGCCTCTCAACCAGCATACCCTCACTGACTGGCCAGCTGAGGTCTCGCTTGGTAAAGTTGCCTTGCATGTTCTGCACAGTCGCACCGAGGTACGAAAGTGTCATGCTGACATCGGCCGCGGTAACGCCAACCCATGGGTTGATGGGAGCTGACACATTATACATTCGGAGCTCCGCCTGGAAGACACCCGTCTTGTTGTCAAGGAAAGGTAGGTTGTAGCACACGGCGATTCCACTCGGGTTCGACGCTTGGCCGTTGAGATTGCTGAGCGTGCTCATACATGCTTCCTTTGTTTGTTGCTCCCACTTCGCTTGATCGACACCCGACGCATCACCAGTCGCGGGTGTCAGCGATGCTAGCGGTGCTGTATCGGCAGAGTTGGCATCTTGTCTTTGCGTAAGGGTTGCCATGAGCTCTGCGTCCCTCCGAAGTACCTCCTCCACGTCCTGGCCTGGCTCGAGAAGCGCGTTCACTTGGGGGCCCTTGAAGGCAGTTGCGTGTCCAGCAGCAAGCAGAGTGCCTACGAAAGCGCTCTTGAAAAACATGGTCGAGGTAGTATTAGTCGACGCCGGAAAATTAAAGTCGGTAGTGCGAAGGTGGCCGGGCTGCCCAGCAGCTTACGAGAAAGAAAGTGGCGAGCGAAGAAAGAACGACGAAGCAAAAGCTAATCACTGCTGAAAAGAAACGGGCATTAGAAGTGTCATTAGCAAAAGCGAATTAGAAAAGTCGAACACGCGAGCATGAAGAAACGCGGTGTGCGAATCACGGCAATGGGTGGATCGGACGAGAACGGCTCGCAAATGGCGTGACTCAGGTCGGGCACCAGACTCGAAAAGCAGCACCAAGACTGGCTTGATGCTCCATAACAGAGTTGAGACGGACTCTGCTTGAGGCTGTGACGGGTGGCACAAGACATTTCTATGCGTTGATCCCGAGGCGACTAAGAAGAAGCTTAATTTAGCATAGTAGAGCCGCATTTGGTGGGAGCCAACCAAGCTGTGGCCTGGAGATCGAGCCGTTCGGGAGTGGGGGCGCACTGGGCATGACGATGCTGGGCCCCTTGAGACAATTGGTGTTGAGGTCTGGAGTCGGGGAACGATGCTAAAACTAGGGGCGCTTCAGGTGTGCGCTAGCAGAGCACGTGATGCTTTCCTCCGAGCCAATAGCATCATCAGATGCCGCCTTTCCCGGCTTTTTGGTTTCACCCTCGAGCCGTGCAGAAGCCGATGTCCTGAGTTTCCCATCGCACCAGCCTCCGCTGCGCCATCGGTGCATCGCAAAATCTCCTGCGGTGTGGCTTCCGGCGCGTGCTTCCTCAGAAACGGGCGATGTTGACACGAGTAGCGGCCGCTGTCATCTAGGAGCTGCGACACTCGCGCTGATACAGGCGGGTCGCCGGGGCGCAACACCTGGACAACTGTACAACATCGACCGCATCTTCAATACCGCCCAACGGACCCAGCCGCCTCGCTGCTGTCGAAGCACGTCACTCCCGAAGCCACACGGACATTAGTTGTTCCCGGTGCGTGTGCCGAGAAGAGACGGTGAGCTGTGAAACCTCGTGTCCCAACCTCCACCCGGCCAATACCCCAACGCGCATATCCGCGGTATCTCCCTTTATGCCAATAGTTATTCACTGTGTACCAGAGCACAGAGGTCCTGCGTCCTGCGTCCGTTGCTCGTCGTGTGGTCTTAGTCCTGCAGCAACTTAGCGGCCTTGTCGCGCAACGCACGCATAGTCAGGCACACTGCCGACCACACTTACTGGGTACGGGACGGATCGCGCGCTCCATATCAGACTGCTCGATGATCTGGCACCATACGGGAAAGTATGGGCTGCGAACATATGCACACGATACGCCTTTGACAATGAAGGCGACTCTGAGGTGGCCACGTTCGCCTGCATACAACTAATCCACATGGGTGCGCTTGTGCCCAGCGTGCATTCGCCCAACACATACACCCACTGCCTATGCCCATATATTGTCATCCTCCACTAATGTGTTGCAAAATGCGGGCACTAACTGCCAGCACATCAAAAGCCTCTAGATCTCTACTTGGGGCAGCCTTATTTGGGCTTGTCACAGTGTAAGCGGTCGACTCTGCCCGAAGGGTCCCGCTGTACTTCATCTGCAGACCAGGGCACCTGGACCCAAGTCGTCCTTCAAGGCTCTCACGTTTCTCGCTCTGTTACGCTCATTCTCTTTGTTTGTTTTTGCACATCGTCACAAGACCACACGAGGCAAGTCCACAGTCGCTGCAAACATCTAACATTCCTCGAGGACGCTCTTCGTTGGTCACGCGCCGACCACCTGTACGCAATGCAGCACGCCTCGAACTCGCCGTGGCGGACGCCTGCGATGCAATATCCCAAACCCCAATACAGTCTCCAGCACACCATATCCATGGTCAACCTCCGAGACGATGATCAATCGTGGTACAACAACCGCGAGACCGCATCTCCAACAGTCTCGTCCGCCTCTTCCGCCACCAGCCGAAGTACAACGCCCACAACAACGAACAACAACCCGTGGTCGAACGTAATGGTCAGCCCAGCTTCGACATATTCCAACAAGTCGTCCGACTCATCGTCGCCCAAAGGCAGCCCAAAACATACCCCGCAATACACCAGCCGATCGACAACGCCCCAGCCCATCGCCCCCCAGCCAATAAGGGTCATTAATCCGGTAGCAGGATTTGCGCCCATGTCACCGCCTCCCTCAGCTTCTGGTGAGTCGTTCAGGAATGGCGATTACCCGGGGTCACCCATGAACCCATACCGACAGCCTGCTGCTCCCCTTGTTCCGTTGGTAAACGGATACATCAACACATCAATCTTATCTTCACAAGGCCAGTCTCTTTCCGGGTGGTTCTATGAGCTCGTGCGAAAGCAAGGATGGGACGCTGGCCTAGTCAAGAAGATATGGCAGTGGACGTTGTCGAACCCCAGGCTCGCAATCCTCTTGTTCGTTTGCGACGATGTCGCATCATGGCGCCAAGCTTCCTTCTTCGACCTTCGAGATGAGAGCCTGCCATTCCCAGAGGACCGTCTTCAAGGAATCGTAGGAAATGCGCGGAAGGTCGTCGACGAACAATGGCGTGCCACATCCAAGGAACTACCGTTGACGGGAGCACATGTTGACTACACGGCACGAGAAACAGTGCCACTACAGCACATCAGTCTCATTCGATCGTCGCGCAATTCTGAGAAGAGCGTCGACTGGGTTAAGATGCAAGGTAGCAGTGAGGATCGTGTGCTTGTGCGAAAGCGCTTTGTCACTGCTCGCTCCGCTCAAAAAGCTGCGCTGTTGGACCAGATCAACAAATTCAAGCAATATGAGCACAAGAACATTGCAAAGTTGCTTTGCTCGTACGCTCAGCCGAGTCACGTCGGCATTCTCACAGAGAAAGCACAATACACTCTGGACGATTTCCTCGCGCTCCCTGGAAGCGACCCAAACCGCTCGAAGTTGCTGGTGGACTGGATGGGTGACTTATCATCCGCTCTTGAATATCTCCATTCGCAGTCCATTTGTCATCGTAGCATCCGGCCTCGCAAAATCCTGATTGATGGTGCGCGCATTCTGCTTGCTCCATTCGACATTGGGCAGAGCATCGACACGTTCAGTCCGACAATGGCGAACTCCCAGCGCCTGGACCAGCTACACACGTACTTCCAAGACCAGTCATACGTCTACGCTGCACCAGAGGCTATTGTCTCACGTGGTAAGAGAATGGCAGACGTTTTCTCGCTGGGTTGTGTGTTCTTGTCGATGATGACAGTCGCACAAGGCCAGTCACTATCAGTGTTTGCACAGTACCGGGCTGCGAACACCCAGGACGCCTCATACCATGCACATCTCGACCGGGTAGCAAGTTGGCGAAACCGGCTCCACGCTGCCACCACCTCGAACCTCCGAAACGGACTCATCGGGTCTGGAAGGAAGCTCAGGCAGCTGAAAGCGGAAGCCGACTGGCTGACCATTATTGAGAAGATGCTCCTACCGGGACCGAAAGAGAGGATCAAGATGCGCTTTGTGCTGGCCAGCCTAAACAGCGGCAAAGCTACAGGCGGAAGACGACGTAGCTTGGACGGCGGCGGTTACAGTGGGCAAGCGGCAGCATCGCTCGGCGTCAACGGTGCAACGACCGCGACGCTGGTCGACATTTCGGAGCATCACGCGCCGCGTAAACCGGAGCTAAGCGTCTTCGATGGTTATTTCCAGACGCAGACCCGCAGGTTAGAACCAGCGGGTGGTTGGTAATCGGAAACTTCGGACAGCGTGTCAAGCATGGACCTACGCTGAGGTGATACTTGGCGAAACATGTTAGACATCGGCCTTTGATGGTTGTCGGGCAATTGTCATGCCGAAGCCAATGTTGAGTGTGAAACTTGACAGCTCGGGATGAGACGGAGCCCTACAACGCCTCAGACACGACTTCAACGAGAATACGCCGATGATGGGCGATAGGCAAAGAGCCCTTCTTTATTTCCTTCATATCTTGTCCGTACTGGATTTGGGTCGGACCTTTGATACCCCTTCTTGCGACCCCATTTGGATGATTCACTTGGTAAATTCTTTCTTTTCATTTGCTCCTCATTCCATAGCATACTTATTAGCGGCGCGGCATCCAGCGAGCATCTAGAGCAATGATCACAAGTTACCTTTTAGCTAAGAGGACGCCATTCACGCAACCGTTGAACGCTAGTAATTTGTCTTTCTCTGACTCTGTAGATCACTCACATGTCCCCAGTATTCCCAATGAAGTTCTGTCCTCGTCTATCCGCTTGGCTTCATGTTCGGGCGCAAAACAGATTAGTCGTTTGCGGTCGTGATAGACGAATATGATGATCAAGAGAGAACCTCTCACTTCTGGAGAGGTGTCCTAGTGTTACATGGCGCTACACCGGTTGCAGTCTAGAGTCGTTGTCTCTCACTTTATCAAGCGCATGGACACCGACACCATAGCAACACTATCAAATTCCAATACTCAAAACCAACTCTACCCTTAATCCATTCACATCCGCAATGGCCGACCGCACACCTGCACCCCGAAAGCGCGCCACTCCCAAGTCTACCGGCGCTGAAGACGCACAAGGTCGGCTTCTAGTCAGCATGTTGTTCCAAGTGAGTCTTCCAGGGGCATAACACACAGGTGACTAACTTTGACAGGTCTCTCTATGTCACGAAGAGGATAGTTTCACAAAGTACAACGAGTTCATGGACGCGGTGAAGGAGGCTGACGGCGCTGAGGTCTTGTTTGTTAGCGCGGACGCACCATTTTTCTGGTACCAACCACAAAAGAATGACGTGGCTTTACGGCTGACGATTCCATAGCTACAAGGTCGATGCTGGCTACCCAGATCCGTTGAAGGAGCTTGTCGACTTTGACACCTCTGTCGACTTTGGAGAGTACAAGGAATACAAGAAGACTGCGGAGCCGACCGTACCGGCGCTTGAGTAGAGCTATAATATCATCTAGATATGACTTGAACGAAGCCTGAGTGAGACTTGTACCCAAGACCTGCTCAAGCCCCGCTCAGGTCTTATTCAGGTCTCACCTAGGCATCTATTCAGGAGGTTGAAGCAGGATAAGCAAGGACGGCGGAACTGAGAGAAGTCGAAGACAGAGAACACATCAATTGAGTGCAACAAAAGGTTTCAACAACTAAACGATGTGAACTTGGTGTGAATAGTGAAGTAGAGTGCTCGCTGGCACTTGCGTCGTCTACATTCTTGTCATCAATTCCTTCCCTCCAGGTCGTGCGAATATCTGACGATCAGGGAAAGAGCGGATGGACGTGCGAAATACGCTCGGCTCTTGAAGAGACGCATAGACTCGAACAGTCTGACGATATGGATGTATGCACGAAATCGCCTTCAAGTGAGCGCGCACTGGAACGTTGTGGTTGACACGGAGACGTTTTTTGGGTGTAGACGGGGTCAGACCGTGGCTCCTTCCCCAGGACGCAGACGCGACATCCGTACAGGATCTGACATCATGGACGCGTCGGTAAACAATGGTCACCCACCAAAGCCGCAGCAAGCACTCAGGTACATCAGAAGCTCCCCGTACCTCTCATGGGCTTCTCTTCGCATCCACTTCCACCCACCCACACTGCGATCAAGAGACATTTCCACTTTCGCTACTTTGCTTCGCATCCTGCTTGCTTTCAACTTCATTCAATCTCGTCCGTATCTGCTCGCTCGTCTTCCAATGTCGTCCTCCCGCAACGTCAACCCTTGGGAGCCTAGAACTGCCGGTGTAATGACATCGGCAGCAGCTGAGTCACTCGTGCCCCTTCAAAAAGACTTCATCAAACGGTTTGTGGACCGACTGGATAAGCCGCCGATCTTTCACAGCGAAACCACACTCTCCATTGCTGCTCTACGCTACTTCACAAAGCCACTCTTCGAGGACACACACGCTGAGATCTCCAAGGTCGCTGATTCCGATCTGACTACCGCGATGGGCAGGTTCGTTGGCAATTGCGTCAAGAACATGCTGAGTACTGGCGCCATCTCTTGCAGCGGTCGTCGGTCTGGAGGCATCACCGAAGAGCCTGCCGCTGGTGGTACAATGGTACCGTCAGTGATGCGGCCAACTGCTGCTGTCCCTGATGACAACTCACGTCCAACGAAGCGCCTTCGTCCCGATCACACTATTGAAGAGAAGCTCGGCACTCCCACTGTTCCCGTTGCACATGGCCTCAGAGCTCCACACGTCCGTGTCTATGTCAACGAGGATGAGACCCGCATGGTCGATGCGAGTACTCAGTCGACGCCCGCCACCCAAGACGAAGAAATGAGCCCACTTGCCCCGTCCTATGACTCCCTCCAAGACTCGTGTGAGTAACAAATGATCCTTCTGGTGTATTCTTATTGACACACCCAGGTACGGACAAAATGGAGCTACTTGAGCTAGGACTTTCATTCGTCCGTGACTACACTGAGCACGCCTCAGAACATGACCTTACCCTTTCGGATCATGTTGGCACTTTCTTGGACTGTGGCATGATAGACGCCTGGGATCTCGACGAGGACTGGATCGACGACAATCGTGAGCGATTGATGAGAGTGATCAACGCCTTATACTCATGAACCCCGCTCGCGCTTGCGCTGGCGTGGCAATGGCTTCGCCAGTTAGGAGCATCGGCGGAGCAATATCTTCGCCAATCGAAAGCAACATCGGATCTTGGCCTTCATTGACACTGGTGGACAACTTCGCATGACCGTTCGGTGTGGTGGATGGGATGTTGACGCAGGGCAGCATGACGTTGTTAAGCATGCTACATCACGATGTTATCGCCCTTCTCTTTCATGAACATGTTGTACTCGTTATGTATAACTGCTGCCACCAATGAAATTTGCTCTTCTCCAAGCTCTTGCCGTTGACATGCCACTGATGATGATGATCATGTTGTAGAGCTGACGATGCATGCGGAAGCACACAATGTCTACTACCTGTCCACACGTTGCCGTTGATAACATCGATATCTCCAGGCTGATGAAGCAGACTACTATGGTGTCAGCTGTCACGACTATGTTCCCGGATGAGTATGACGACTTCACTAGTATCACAAGGGAAGAAGTTCCTGCACTCGAGCCCATCGAGAGAAAAGGCCATTTGCATGTGTAGTAATAACGGTCTATACAGATCTATCCTACAGACGCGAAGCTACCCACTCCGTCCGCACCAGCCAAGCTAGCTATGCAAATCAAGTAGCAGTCACACCCACGCAACGCAGCGGATATCCAAGATGCCTATTCGCGAGAGCACAGCACACCAGAAGACACCGTCTACCCAGCATGTTCCACGATCTCACTAACAAGCTTACCATCCTTGACGTAGCTCCTGATCTGCTCCGGCAACGGGTTCTCAGCGTAGTCATCTTCGGTCGGCAGGTTGATGTTGATACTACTGCACTTGCTGGTGAAGACCTCGGTTGCCAGCGAGTCCTTGGATAGGTATACGGTTGCGCCGTCAACTTGGTCGAGGAGGATGGTGGGGAGGGTGCCGAGGACTTGGAGCGCGAAGTTGGGGCACTTGATGACGTCTACGGAACTGACTAGCGAGTCGATGATGAGGGATGTGCGGGAGGAGTTGTCGAGCGAGAGGGCGTTAGCTTTGCCGTTGATGCGGATGGTGGTGTTTTTGCAGCGCGAGATGAGGATGGAGTGGTTAATCTCAGCGTCGATTTCGAGTGTCTCGCCTGGGGAGTCGAAGTTGTCCTATGGGTGTGTCAGTCATGAGTCTACCTTCTTCAACAAGGATACATACTATTATCCACTTGTTTCCGTCCAGCTCCTTCTTCGGTGGCTTCTTCGTCCGCATGCTCTCGGGCTTCTTCGCCTTGGGCGGCGCAGGACTCTTACTCCTGAGACTGTCGTTGCTGTCGCTTCGTGTAGGGACCGATGCGCCTGCTCGCAATGATGGGTTCTTATGCGTCATCTGGCTTGGGTCAACCTTCTTAAGCCCCTTTGTAACATCTGAGCCCTTGTTGAGATCGCCAAAAACAGCGTTCATGTCGGGTGCGGCCTTCTTAGCCACAGGTGCAGCACCTGGTGGCGGCGGTGGGCCTGGTGGCGGTGGAGGACCAGGCGGTGCTGGGACGCCTCCTGCCGGAGGAGCGGGTGGTGGTGGAGGAATGTTGGACGCGCCAGAGAGAGGTGCCGAGGAGATTTCCTTTGCGGCATCTTTGGCGTCGATGCCGTTGCTGTTCCAGGCTACACCTGTAGCGTGGTGCTTCTTTGCGTATTCAGCGAGAGCCTTGAACAGCTTGTAGTAGGCCTGCACCCACTTGACGTGGGCTTCACCGTCGGGCCTGGAGTTGTTAGTGCTTGCTCGCGTAGAACGGTAGAAGTCTTACTTGTCCCGGTACTCCTTAAGCACTTTGTTGCCGTACATCTGAGCTCCGCCGAACAGCTCGTTGATGTGCTCATGGGGCTTCATGCCTCCGCCCTGGCCAATTGTCACCCACCCAAGCGATCCAACACCATCGGCGACCATGGAGACGGAGTCCTTGAGCGCAGGGTCGCGGTTGCTCTGTCGGAACTCGTCCGTCTTCTCCATGCTCGCCTGGAGGTCCTTGAGCAGCTCCATGAGAGTGCGGTCGTCGGGCTTCTTGGCCTTGTTCGCGATGAAGAGGAACTGGCGCTGGGCAGCGAATGCGCCCTCGACTGCTTTGGACTGGCCCTCAATGACGCTTCCCAGCTTGCTGCTCAGGTCCAGCCAGTTCTTCAGGTCCGAGCTGACCAGCTCATCGAATGCCTCAATCGCCGGTGGTGCGCTTTCCGCGACGAGTTTGGGGGTGCTGGCACTTGTGTTGGCCGCGGTGACGCCTGGAGTAGCCTCGGTGGACGCTCCATTGAGGCTGGCAGCTCCATCGCCGCTGCTGGGTAGGGAGGTGCTCGCGATGTCTTCGAGACGCGAGGTGGCAGCTTCGAGCCTGCGGACCATGTTCGTCAGTACATTGTCTGCTGCGAGCTGTATTTGCCCCTGTCGACCGAGGATGTGTGCTTGTTCGGGCCTGGGAGCCATCGTGGGGTCGTTTCATGGAGGATGCGGGATGCGCAGAGTGTTGTAGGGTAATAGGTTCGGGTGCTAGTAGGTGACAGTCTCGGACGGAAGGTACTTACCGCTTGATCAGCGTCGTCAGGTTATTCATGTTGTTCGCCATGTGGAGAAGGCACGTCGCAGCGTTTGCAAGGTAGGACAGGTATCTTGAATGCTCGGGGAAGGGGCAGCCGCGGCAACCTGCAGCTCGTGCGACGCGATTTGGCTGGTTCGGAGTAGAGAGAGGCCGTGATCCAGCAACCCAAGCTCTCGATAATAGGAATACGAGGACTGTCGGAGATATTTAATTGGAAAAGCACAATTGCAGGCAGAACCTCACTGGGTCAGCTCTCCCCGGCGCATGGCCACGGCTGCCCACGTTGCGCTAGCCGTCTGCAGCCAAGCCTGGTCCGTTCGAGACATGCACGTCAGCGGCATACTATCAACCTTGCGATCTACACAAGGCGACATGGAAACATTCAACATGGCCGACGCAGCACACGACAACTATGGCAAGATCGACTTCTGCACGCTGGGAATGTTTATCATCGGTATGCGTCAGATATTATTCAACACAGGCAAGCCACTGAACTTGTCAAGATGAGATCGAGTTTCCCCCACCAAAGCCGCCAGTCAAAGACATCGTTGGCGGAGCTGGATCATATTCCGCATTAGGCGCACGCATCTTCTCCCCGCCGCCACAATCAGAGTCTGTGGGTTGGATTGTAGACTGCGGGTCTGACTTCCCACCTGAACTGCGCGACTTTATTGCACAATGGAAGACAGGTGCACTGATACGTGAGACGCCCAACCGGCTGACTACGCGAGGTTGGAATGGATATACTGGTGAAAGCGAGCATCGAGGTGAGTGTCTGTGTCTAGTTTGTGAGTGATCACATGTTTAACCACTCTGACGAAGCCTTTCGATACTTGACACCGAAGTTACGCGTGGATCATGAGGATCTGAGGGATACAGACCTGTTGTGGTCCAAGTCGTTTCACCTGATCTGTTCTCCGCTACGTTGCATCGACCTGGTTGAGAACATCATCGCATTACGCAACCAACATCCTAATTCGGCCAATACACCTCGCCCGGTATTCATCTGGGAGCCTGTTCCTGATCTTTGTACGCCTGAAGAGTACGATAATTGCCTGAAGGCGCTAAAGCATGTCGACATTGTCAGTCCGAACCACGGGGAACTTGGCGGCTTCTTTGGCAAGAACACCGACGGGAAGGATCATGTGGATTTCCGAACAATCGAAGAGCTATGCGGTCAGTGGCTAGACAGTGGTGTGGGTAATGGCAATGGTGGGGTCGTCGTGCGTTGTGGGAAAGACGGTTGCCTGGTTATGCGCAAAGGGTTAGGCAATGGGTTGCGCAAATGGATGCCTGCGTACCACCAGTCAGCAGAGAAAGTGGAAGATCCTACAGGAGGAGGCAACAGCTTTCTCGGTGGACTGGCAATCGGCCTGGTTCGGGTACCAGGACATCTCGAGGAGGCTGCGATCTGGGGATCCGTTTCGGCGAGCTTCGCCATTGAGCAAGTTGGTATGCCCGTTCTCTCACAAGCAGCAGACGGGGAGACATGGAACGGGGTTCGCGTCGAAGATAGGCTTTCAGATTTCAAGCAGCGCCTGGCTAGTTATGTACAGCCATAGTCGCAGCCGCTGTTCCCTGCCCTCCACCTCATAACCAATCTAACCCTCAAGAGTCTTCTCGATGATGCTCTGGTCTTGTTTCCGCTCGTGTTCCCGGATCTGTTTGGTCCAGCTGTCTGTCGTTAGCTTCCAAGTCTGATCAGAAGATATCCGTGTATGTCGTACTATCGGCTGGGGAAGAATCGGTGGCGTTCGGGCATCTTGTCGCGGTACTCGCGGTTTGCGCTGAGCATCCAGGCCATGCCGACGATGCTGCCGAGGGCGAGGCCTACGACGGCCGTGTTGGCTTTCCAGTTGGCGGGTTGGGCGTACCAACCACCGGCCGGCGACCAGACGTGCTTGGGGTATCTAGTTGACGTCAACTCTGCGTTGGAAAGCAATTGGCGGACTTCTCATACGGGATCTTTCCTCCTCCGCCCATTGTAAAGGTGGTTGTGCGGGTTCGTGGGGTTGCTGTTGCGGAGCTGCCCTGAGGTCGCTGTCGCATGGGAGGGCTAGCACGGGCCCCGACGCTTGGCGGAAATTCTTTGGCAGTCGCGATCATGACCTGTGTGAACACACGACCGGCCAATTGCTGCTGCTGCCGACTCCGCCTCTCCTGATCCTGCTGCCGTCTTCTCCTACATTTTGTCTTAATGAAGCGGATACCCATATCGCGATGCGCCTCGCAATTGCTGGGTGCACCCTCGCCACGCCGGCCCTCGTGCCCATACACAGCGGCAAAGAACGTGCGGAGAAGCATTATACCTCATAGCCACCGGACACAGGCTCGGTTCCAGAGCACGGTAGCAATTCCGGACGACGGTGAATTGGAACTCGAGATTGCCGCAAACTCTGCCACACCGTCAACGTCAACACCCAGACCAAGAAGGCGTCTGCCGCTCGAGAGCCTCCCATCTCCACATCCCAGTGCCGCCGAACGTTCGACAAAATTATACGCCCTCCGCAGTCGATTATCTCTCCCACCTCGCTTCCCCCTCCCGGTTCTCGCACGAACCCTCATCCACCCCTCCGCCGACCCAAACCCCGCCTTCAATAATGCCTCGCTATCAATACTTGGACGCCAGCTGCTGGGCTACTACACTTCCGAGTGGCTTCTGTGCAACTACCCACGCCTGCCAATGGACGTCGTCTTCGCCGCAACAGAGGCATACATCGGACCGAGAGCGTTGACCACAATCGCAAGCGAATGGGGTATCGAGGCGGCGGCGGAGCCGGGTGGTGAAGTCGACCCTGGCTTATTACAATTCAAGAGGATACAGTCGGGCGATGCCCTCCCAGCAGAGTTGAGGCGGCAAGCACCCTGGAAGTGGAATATTACCACCACACACAAGATCATGAAGACAGACGAATTTGGCTCCGACAATGCCGCACCCAGCCCGCACGCGCTACAAAGCACACCGGTACCACTGGAAGAGGCAGCACAGTCCTTCGTCCGAGCACTCATCGGCGCATTACACGTACACCTGGGCTCCCCGCTCGTCAAGCGCTTTTTCCGTGACCACTTCCTGAGCCGACATCTCGACATCAGCACGATTTTCGACTTCAGAATGCCGACACGCGATCTTTCACGGTTATGCGCACGAGAGGGCTTCGAGCCACCGGTCGCCCGATTGATCTCAGAAACTGGTCGTCTAAGCAGACATCCTGTGTTCGTGGTTGGGGTATACAGCGGAAAGGACAAGCTAGGAGAGGGATCAGGCAGTTCATTAGATGAGGCCAAGACAAGAGCAGCGGCAGCAGCATTGAAGGCATGGTACCTATACAAGCCGGTCGAGGTCACCGTCCCAAGCAGCATGGAGGGCGAATTGGATACGAGCAAGTGGCGGCCGAACCACGTCGACCACGGAGAGGTCATTGTGTAAGATACGCGGCATCAACCCCACTTTTGGAGTTGTAGGGATATACTTTTGGCATGCATGGCATGGATGGACGGCATACTCTTCGCTTGTACAGATTCATGATAGCGCAGGGGGGCAGGAAAAAGAACCGTGTCGGAAGAAGGCCGGAGAGGAGGGGAAGACTTACCCCACGTTTTGCTACGTCGAGGGTTCAGGACCGCGCGCCCTGCGAGCACTGCGCATGTATCATATGTGACATGAGGATATCATGATGATCCGCAATGTGTACAATACAAACGAAACGCTGCATCACAATACCCATTGCTTGTATTTTCGGTTATGATTCAGAGCTGGAATGTGATGATCTGTAACTTTCGCCCAGGAATACTCCAGCTCAAACTATGCCTTTCGTAGGGAGGAGCACGGATCACAAGAGATCAAACTGGCGACCGTGACGTATTCAACTTACCCTACCTTGGCGATGTTCAACTCGTAATAGCTGCAATTGCATCGTCATAGGATCTGCGCGAAGAGAACAACAGAGCCCACAATCCAGATTCCCTAAACCATCTCTCGCATTCCGAAGTAGTTTCAGTCCTGGTAGATAGCGACTATCTAGGCACTGCAAGGATTGCTGGGTCGGTGGCGGCGCGCATCCTTGCAACTCCTCTCGCGCGGCACAAAAAAGGCCCAACACTTCCACGTCGGGTGCGGAGAAGTAGGAACCCTTCTCTGGAAACACAAAATCGCCAACAAACATGCCACCAAAGCGCACCGCGACTGCTCGTCATGAGAGGTCCACTGAGGCCTCTGTACGAGCGCACAAGAAGATCAAAATTGAACCAGAAGACCCGCCGCCTGATCCCGTGCCCGACGGCTTGAGAGAAGCCAGAGCAGAGATTACCAGGTATATTGAAGCAATGGAACGAGTGCCACTCCGCCGTCGACTTGATGTGCATTGGAAGATTGGTGGTGTTCCTCGCGGCGACCCCGAAAACATCATTCGCGAACTAAATGTCGATCATATCAAAGAAGTAATGGAGCGCGACGCACAAGTCAGCGCAGCGTTCGCGTCGCTCAAAAAGACGTTGGAAGAAGGCAAGCCCGCCCCGGGCATTTACAACCCTTACGTCAAGCACGGCAAGTGGAGTCTTTTCTCAAGCGAAGTCTTTACGGAATTCCTGCTCTGGAATATCGACAACATGGAATTTAAACAGTTTTGCGTAAATCAATGGATCGAGTTTCATGATCCTGACGCAGAAGTGGATTTCATGGACTGCCACTGTGGCCGCCCGGAAACTTATGGCACTATCGTTGGACCCAGACAGATCAAAGGAGATTTCAAACCGTTTGACTGGCCACAGGAGGCTTCACTCGAGCCCATTGTCGTAAAAACATCGAGTCGATGTCGGGAAATCAAGATGTGGTTCGCAGGAAATGGGTACATGAGGATGCAATGCGACATGGGTTCCGTAGAGGAGCTCGCAAATGGGCAAGCGAAAAGGGTGACTTGGAATGCGATACAAAACACGAAGGAACACAAGGAGCGTGAACAGAAAGCGTTCATGGCTCGTAGGAGGAGGGAAGATGAAGAATTTCGGGTCAGACAAGCGGAAGCAATTAGGAGACGGGAGAGAGAAGAAGAGCAAGCGCGGGAACAAAAAAAGGAAGATCATAGGCTTTGGGTAAAGAAGAATCAGAGGCGACTGAAGTTGAGGCGGAAATACGAAGATGGCGATATTAACAGTTCAGAGCTGGAGCTGAGCACTGAGGAAGAAGATGGCGAGGGCGCCACTGATGCGGAGGAAAGTCGCTCTTCTGCGTCGCCTGAGCCGTGGGATTCGTCAACAGGCGAGGAGGATTGGACTGAGTCGGAGTCGGAAGAGGAGGAGTCGGAAGAAGAAGAAGAGGAAGAGGAAGAGGAGGAAGAAGATTCAGATGAACAATAGCCCGAATCGTCAAGATTTTAGCGGAACATCGACTGTTTTCCTCATTTAGAGCATTATCTGTACAATCTGGCTAGTACTATGACATCATGAGGTCTTCGCAGTCTTTTCAGATGTTGGCATATCCATGTAGACGATAACGTAGTAGACTTCCGAGGAACATCTGCCTGTGATCAATTGAGGAAGTACAGGTTATGTAGTCTCCCGCATGTTACATGCGGGCGTGTATTAGCTTCTTTGTGGAATGAGATGAAGATGTAAACAACGCAATATGTTTCCAGACCACACTCGAATTTCGTTGGCGAGGTAAAACCAGCACGTGCGACCACGTGCCCACCACTACGACGCCTTCTCTCACCTTCAGGTAAAGGTAGCAGGTCTGATCGACGGGTATATACTCAACCTCGTTACCGACCTATCTCCCAGTCTCCTACACCACACTCGACATCGTTCATAACTCAGCATCGACTAAAACACAATCCTCAACATGGCCGACTTCGGTATAGTACCTGTCATGGAGATAAACTGCGAGGCTCCTATGTCGACACTCTACACAGAGCTGGACGAACAGGAACAACGCGGTAAGCTTCCTTTCGTCTCCGTTCGATCTACGAATACTGACTGTATATCCGCAGTCACTGCAGGTACTCCAGGCAGCGGCATTAGCACTGGCATTCCAAAGGTGGAAGTCAGCATGGCCAACGCCAAGAAGGTCGGAAGAGTCATCGCGGCGTACTATGGCACTGTTCCCAATGGTTTCTTGGCCACTGTGGTGGGATTGCACGTCGACGCTGCCAAAACAGCCACCGCCGCAAAGACCTTTCGTAGGATGAAGAGCGACCTCTTTGTCGAGAAGTTCGGCACAGGCTCCTTCATCTACAAGTTCGCTCGCGGCAAGGTCAGCACGTCCGACTTTCTCACGTATCAACACAATTTCGCCATCGAGGCGCGCATCTGTGATTTTGCGGTTGCAAATGAGGATGAGGGCGCCATTACTCGTCGCGCCGCCAAACGCCAGGCAATACTCGATGCCACTGCATCGAGTGAGCAAGTCTGGGTCGACACATACACCGTCGCATTCAACAAGGCTAAAAAGGCACACGAAAAAGCACGTGGTGTTGGGAAAGTCCGTTTGGCACGAACACGCGACCTTTGCGAAGAGCTCATGGCTAACCCGCCCCGTTGCGCCGTCGACGTTACGACGCTCCTGAATCGCCGAGCATGCGAACAAGCAAAGATGATCCCGTTGCTGCTTCGTACGATGGACGAGCGCGTCAGGTTCTGGTTCGATCACGTCACCAAAGACACAATCGCGTCTCACCTTGGCGCAGCGATGTCTGTGGTCGACATTCGGTGAGTATCTACTTTACGGACATGACCGAGACTTCTTGCACACTACTAATCTCCCACAGGCGCATGTGCATCGATGAAGTCGCCAACCCTCCGGATGTCATCCCTCCGTTCCACACAATTGTGGGGAACGTGTTTGCGTTATCTTGCGAGCTTCTGCATCGTCTTATCGTCGCGCCGGAGGACAGCAAGCGTCTGCAGCTGCTGCTCAATGATCGTTCGCTCCGGATGGCAAGCGTCGACATGTCGGGTGACCTGTCCCCCGAATGTTTCGATCAAATCCGCGGCCTTCGCAACTCTCTGGACTTTGAGGCAGCAGAGAACGGATCATGGAAGGATATCCCGGTGTTGGTCCCAGAAACTCGAGGCAAGAAGCGCTCAGCGCCTGAGGAAGATGGACGGAACACCAACTAGACATTTAGGGGAGCCCTTGGTGCTGTCGGACGGGAAGATGGAGACGTTGCGAACTGCATGCTTGGCCTTTGTCGCGAGGAGTTCGGTGGATTAGACTGATGGATGACGTCACATGTGTGCCAAGGATGGCCGGTGCTGGATAGAAACGCGTCTCGCGCCTCACAAGTCAGGAAACCACACGCTATTCTGGCGTCTACATCAATATATCATCACGAATGCTTCACGTCCCTAGACCATTGTAGCCGCCCGGGTCACACATGCATTTTGGTAATGCTCTGATGAGCTGTGCTGTAGTAGGCAAAACGAAGCGTTCGCTAGGAAGAAAGTAGCTCCTTCCTCACACAGTGTAGCTCCGCTGTCGCTGCTGCTGCTTGCTCACACCACTCACGGCCTCACGGAGAAGCGGGTGAGATCGCTCACTAGACGCCAACAGTATTCCCGATCCTACCGTAATGCGAGGCAACGACACCTCCGATGAAGGACAGTTGGGATAGCCGCGAGCGATCGGCCTCGGTGCGGAGGGCGAAGGGAACCACACTGTACGTTGGACGTACGCATTGGCGGTACGAGCAGACCTTCCCGGGGCCAAGGTTGACCTGCCGCTTCATAGTAACACCCCGCCTAGAACCGTTGGTCAAGCCGGAAATCCCGACATTGTGCTCACAGTATTGGAGTAAGAGAACCACGTGGCGTCACGACTGTTCTATCCACAGCCCCGCTTCCTCCCGTCCTCAGGCAAAGGCAGTGGGCTGAGTGGGCGGGTGTATACTTCAGTTCTGCTGCTGACTTGACTTCCAGTCTTCTACACTTTCTTCCTTACAGCATCTTATCACAATACTTACTTCATATCTACACACTTCGTATCACAACCTCCTTCGCAACAATGGCGACAGTATCGTTGGATGTACCTCCGGCGATTCATGTTGAGATTCCGGCACATACTCGGTGGGCTGAGCTCAATGAGCAGCCGCAGCGCGGTAAACTTGACCGCAACACTGTGTATCGTACAATGCTAACTATGTATCTTCTGCAGTAACGGCAAGATCTCCGCAAAGTGGCTTCAACGTTGATGACCCAGTCTGGCCTGTCACCCAAGACATCGCAACCGAGAAAGCCCGACTTATGGGCGCATACTACGGCACAGTCCCTGCTGGCATGTCTCACGCTATCGTCGGTACGCCTGAGGACGAAGCGGGGCAAACACTCGCCAAGATCGTCTTCAACAGGGCCCGAGATACCGTGCAGACTGAGCGTTACGGACCCAAGTCGTTCATACAGAGATTCATCCGCGGGAAGCTCAGTACTCTCAATGTGAAAGTACTGATCACCAACTGGATGCTGGATGCATGTATCTGTCAGTTTGAGGTCGAAGGCGAAGGTGAAGCAGGAATTGCTAATCGAGACGCAAACCGCGCGGTATATGAACAAGGCATCGCAGATCTTCAGCAGTTATGGGAACGTGAGTACACTCATGCTTGGAAGTCTGCTGATTCGACTGCTGTTGGTGCCCGCGGTCTGAACAAGAAGCGGCTGGAGCGCGCTCGCGAACTCTACCGGGTGATGAAAGACGCGCCCCCGGTCTTTGACATTGACCCACCCAATGGTAGCCCGTACTGGGAGTCAGCACTCAAATGCGAACAGGCGAAGCTGGTCCCATTCATGAATCGGGCCAAGGCTGATCGTCTGAGGAAGTACGAGGAGTACTTCACAAAAGACATGGTTGCATCTCATTACAGCACTGTCATGAACATCGTGGACATTCGGTAAGTGTTCAATTCCGGTTCAGCATGTGGCATTGCTCAGTTCAACTAACATTTCTCAGCCGGCTTGCCGAGAACGCCAACATCGACGGCGTCCCCCAATTCTGGTCGATGATCGTCAATCAATGGACACACACTTGCGATCTTGTACTCAGACACGTAACGGACCCTCAGCTCGGCATTCGTAGGGAATTGTTGATGATAGATCCATCACTCCGCGCGGCCGCCTACCACCACTGGTTAGACCGAAGCCTTGAGTGCTTCCAGCACATCCGCCGACTCTTCAACCGCCTCGGGTACAATGTCGGCTACGGTGAATGGAAAGATATCCCGATTCTGAGCGTGGGTCACCGGGGCAGGAAGCGAGCGAGGACCGACGAGTGAAAGGCACGTCGCAAAGCGCCGTTTGAATTGACAGGTGATGGTTTAATGTACGGAGTGGGAATGGACTGAGACGACGACATTGCGTCGGGTAAATGCCACGGCTTCTTCCTTCATTGCGCGCGAATACTACGACGGAGTTAGCCCCGATGAGACGAGCGAGTGATTTGACTTTGAATGCGACGATCCTTCCCGAGCCACCGGAGTCTTCGCCCATGCACGACCATCAATCCCCATCAATTCGCATCGAATGACCTTCGACCAATCTTTGATGCAAATCAACATCGCGTTATCGTTCAGCGAATACATTACATGCGGCGGCGAAACACATAAGTGCAAACGAGGCCGTTCAACTTGCGACGAGCCACCAACCATCGACGGCGATATCGCGGCAGGAGTCGTACGCCGGAACTCACCCCGACGAGACGAAATCATGTCCGAGCTGTGACACGCGCTTCAAGCCACCCACAGGATCGGTCGACCACGTTGCAGTACAAGCTCTGGGTGGTGTGCGTTGCTCCATCTACCTGCTTCTCGCAAACACACCGCCCACGACAACTTCATCCCGCTAGGCTGTGCAGCTTCTTATCAGTACCATCATTTCTGCCCACTAGCATACGGCGGCGAGTGCGCAGCACTATGCAACCACGACTCCGGAAACTTGAACACACGGCGCAACCTCCAATAACCACTATGCAGGAGGCCCTGAGATCCATCACGGTCGCTCTTTGTGGACCTTCAAGCAAGTTCGAGTCCAACCATCGTCCGGTTCACCACACAGCACCCACCGGCTCCAGCTTGTATACGACAACTGAACAACGCGCATCAACAGCTGCAGGCCATCGGGGTCTGATCATGTTCACCAAAACGGCAGCCGGAATCGATTGAGATGCTGCGGGCATGTTGAGACTATACTTTGTCAACAAGTCTAGTCCTACAGGCACCGAAGCAGACACATGTGTGGTAGATATTTCATCCTCGTTCGGAGAAACATATACTAACATATTTCCTTACAGCCATTTGCCCATCTTACCGATTTAGTAGCTGTCATTGGCCAGGTCTGGCTTTCCACACTCTGGAATGCTACTGCTGATCTCGCGTGCCTATCGCCTGTATGTGTCCTGCGGGTCATTGGCTGCGTGTCATACTTTGACACCGATAACACGCATCATGGTTGTACCGTCTAGGTAAGATCAAATCGACTATAACCTCGTACTCTACCACTTCATGTCAGTGTAGCAAGACTGTTATCACTCGACAGTGGCAGACACTGGGACTCTGTGCACGGGATTGTCGGTCACCCCACATCAGAAAGAGCAGGGGTATATTCAAGCAACTATTACACGACGCACAAGTTTCTCAAGCCGCTCGAATACCTCCAGGGTGGCTCATGGCCAGTAACACTCATATCACAGAGACCAACGTATACGTCCAGGCGCCATTTTTTTCTTTGATCACTGATCAGATTGTTTTCATCCGTATCTACATTATGAGGGAAAAGATATACTAAAGGAATCATCCAGGTTACTCGCGCCATCAACTCTTCTACCCCACCACATCTATCGTGGTACCTCCAAAGGGTGCAAGGTTCGTCTAGTTGTTCTGCTTGTTCTTGCCGCCGGCACCTCCAGCCTTTCCTCCCTTGCCCTTGTGGTGCGGCTCAGGCATAGCCTCACGGTTGTTGAGCTTGGCCTTGCCGCCAGCACCTCCTGCCTTGCCTCCCTTGCCCTTGTGGTGCGGCTCAGGCTCGCGTCCGAACAGCTTGGCCAAACCGCCAGCACCGGCACCTCCAGCACCACCAGCGGCACCACCAGCCTTACCTCCCTTGCCCTTGTGATGGGGTTCGGGGACAGCCTCGCGGTTGTTGAGCTTGGCCTTTCCACCAGCACCACCAGCCTTGCCTCCCTTGCCCTTGTGGTGTGGCTCAGGCGCACGTCCGAAGAGCTTGGCTAAACCGCCAGCACCGGCTCCGCCAGCACCTCCAGCCTTGCCTCCCTTACCCTTGTGATGGGGCTCGGGCACGGCTTCGCGGTTGTTGACCTTTCGGCCACCAGCTCCGCCGGCAGCCTTGCCGCCCTTGCCCTTGTGGTGGGGAGAGCGAGTGTGGAGGTCGGCCCAGTGAGCGTCGTCCTCCTCCTGGGTGAGCTCTTCGGCCTGGCGGTTGTTGAGCTTGCCTCGGCCACCAGCACCTGCACCTCCAGCAGCTTTTCCGCCCTTGCCCTTGTGGTGAGGGGAGCGAGTGTGGAGGTCGGCCCAATGAGCATCGTCCTCTTCTTGGGTCAACTCTTCAGCATCACGGCCGAAAAGCTTGGCCAAGCCGCCAGCGCCACCGGCTCCGGCTCCGGCTCCAGCACCTCCAGCCTTTCCGCCCTTGCCCTTGTGGTGAGGAGAGCGAGTGTGGAGGTCGGCCCAATGAGCATCGTCCTCTTCCTGGGTCAACTCTTCAGCATCACGGCCGAAGAGCTTGGCTAAGCCACCAGCGCCGGCGCCACCGGCACCAGCACCGGCACCGCCAGCCTTTCCACCCTTGCCCTTGTGGTGACGGGCTTCGACTCCACGGTCTGCAAGGGCAGCAACGAGGTTGGATGTGTGGACAGGTCCGCTTCCCTGGAGAACTGTAAGTATATGACATGCCAAGGATCGTCGCAGAACTTACTGGCATGCGTGCCTTGACAGCATTGTCAACGGCTTGCTTGTTGTTTGGCACAACGTAGGCAGAGGTTGAGGCACCCAGGGCCAAAAGAGTAAGTGCGGTAAATCTCATATTGAATAAAGTTTAACTGAGTCTGGAATCGGTTGAAAGAATGGATCTGCCAGCAGAGAAGAATGGATGAAACAGAACTGAGCAGGATGTGAGAAGGAATGAGCACGTTCAACGTTGATGCCTTTTACTTCTGGAGCTTCGAGATGCTTTATAAGTCAACTCGACTCCTGGTAAGCACGGCGGTTGCATGCTTGCTCGCTCTCGCCTTCAACTCCTGAGACATGTTGCATTGCCTACGGCACAGAAGCGGAGGTGGCACCCCACCTGCCGCCTGCAGGAAGCCACTGTGCTCGCTTCGATGCGATGGCTATGAAAGGCGTTTGCATGGGAAGCCAAACACAGAAAGTCTTGACGGCCTGGCGTCTCCACCAACGACACCGCCAGCCGTCGACAAGGCCTGTCGGTGTCTCGAGAACACGGTCATGTCCAACCCAGCCGCCAGGCTACGAGGTCCTGCCTCAGGCTCCGCGACAACACCCACCGGGTACCTTTCGCGCATCGCCAATGCGATCTGGAGCTTGCTTTGATAGAGACTGTTGGTCCTCGGGAACTGACCACTCATTTGGTCGAGACTAGTCCAGAAAGGGTTTAAGGTCGGAAACCATTGGCGCGCAGCCGCGGTTCTGTTGTTCCAGCCCTGGCAACTTTTGACGTTATTTCCGTTGTTCTGTCATCATGCAGTTGGGACGTTTGTTCCATGTGCGTGTCATGTCAGTGTAAGAATCTCGTTTTGGCTGGCGCGCCAAGCTGAAACGATGGTGCCGAATTATGAACATCCAGTCTTGGCTAAGTGTCCACTTCGAAACCCATGCAACAGTTGAACCAACGAAAAAGCGGCGACGATCCCGCCTTCTGCGTCTCAGAAGGCTTGGTGAAAGCTTGATGCCTTGGAGCAAGGCTAATGTTGCCTGGGCAGATGGAACAAGACGCCTTGGAGAAAGCGGCCTGCACGGCATAGCGGCACCCTTTGAGATGTTCCGTGTTTCGGTGACCTACCCATGGCGATACCGAGAACGTATCGGGGGTCGATGTTAGCAGGTCTACCATAGTCTTTCGCGCCAACTTCTCCCACTTACTCGCTCGCTGGTCTTCCATCCCCATTCACCTTCGTCTTGTTCAAGCGTTGAGCGCAGCATTCTATTCTCTATCGCAGGTCGACTAATCTTTCTTCTTTCAACATCACTTGGTAGTGCTTTCATCTCAGTCATTGTATTCTTCGCGCATTCGAAAACCATCATGGAAAAATACACCGACTCTAGCTCATCGCAGGGCGATGCCGAAAATACCGCTTTTATCACAACACCCTACCAAAGCGATGATAGGCAACGGCGGAGAAGCTACATCTATCTTACACTCTTCAACCTGTTCCTTTTCACAGTGTCAATGCTGTCGTTACTATGTTCGGTCATGTCGCAAAAAGACTACTCGGGTCACTCAGCGGCTAAGCTAATGGATCAGTTCGACATATTCTGTACGCACCAAGTTCTTCATCGCACTCCTCAGGAATACCTGCTGATATGACCTAGCGCCTGCAAAGCACGTCGTCGAATACAGCCACACAAAGTTTGAACTACCCAACCCTTTGAACTCTTCGAAGTATGTCGGTATTACCGATGATGTAGAGAACGCATGGATGGATGTCGCATATCGTAAGTCATCAACCCTACCCTCCTATACCCGCGCCCTCTCCACTCAACTCCCATCACTAACACGGCACAGTGCCCGACCAAATGGTCTCCATGAAAGACTTCCCCAAGCTACAAAAGCCCGCCGACGCCCTGCAAGTCACCGACCCCAAGACAGGCGAAACAGGCTACCGAGTCGGACTAGAAGTTTTCCACCAACTGCACTGCCTCAACCTCCTCCGCATGTCAACCTATCCCGACTACTACCCCAAGCTCTGGTGGAGCGACACCAACGACAAGCCTGAAAAGGTCAGGGCGCATCTAGACCACTGTATCGAGATCCTCCGCATGAACCTCATGTGTCTTTCTGACGTTAACGTCTTTACTTTCCACCCGCAGGAGGGTAAGGAGGGATACTGGCCTGACTACGAGAGTCACCATGTGTGCAGGAACTTTGACAAAATCAAGGATTGGGCCAACGACAATGCGATGCCGGACCTTGATGTGTAGGCTTGGCTTTCTTGCCGGTTGGAGACGGCGCGTGTAAATAGAATAATAGCATCGACAACACATCAACGAGTGGAGCAGCATGATCATGTAACAATTCAAATGCTCGTGATGAGTGATCGAACACCCTTGTTGCCATTGTTGCATGCTGCATGTTGTTCACTCAAGCTCTTCTTCCCCATATGAAACAGGCTGTTTCAGTTTCGCATCACAGTCCGGGTATTTCGCACCGCTTGCGCACCTTTGTTATGCAGCATCATGCTTTGTTCTTCCAACTGCTTGGGCAGAGGGCACATGAATCGCTGTCAAATCGCTTTGGTCGGTGGCTGCAACGATGACGTCCTTCCTGAGATGGGCAAGGTTATGAGCGCGAATCAGTATGTGGGTGCAAGGAAACCTGCGACGTCGGCTCGCTTTTGCACTCATGTCATCGTAGACCATTTGGCTGAACTTCAGGATGCTATGAAATACAGGCTTTTATGAGTCTAGAATGGTATGCAATGACGCCAACAAATCAGGCAGATTAGAAACTCTCTAGCGAAATAGTTCACTATGAAGCGCGAGTAGGAATGCAAATAATGGACATCTAGCAATGTCAAGAGTTGGGTATATGTCAGTGACAACCAGAATGCCGCCGAAGCAGTCCACCGTCTTCTAAACGCCGGAAACCATGTCGTCCTCCCTGATGACGTGTGTTACAGGTCTAGATCCGGCATTTGTAGATCGTCGCCTGGCTCCATAAGGTTCATGAGATAGCGCGAGCCTGAGAACCAGTCCTGCATGGGATTGGAATTTCCCTGAGACGCTCCAAAACCGAAGCCGGACGAACCAACGGCATCCATGTTATTCATCGCCTCGCCTTGCTCAAACGCGGTCGTCGTGGCTGCAGTGGAAGCGTTGGGATATGTCGTGGGCCATGCGGTATCAGGCATCAATCCAAGCGCACTAAGGTACGGATCGAATTGGGACATTGCGTTGAGGTCCAGCTGCGTGCCATCAACGGTTGTATAATACCCTGACTGGTTATTTTGCATAACTCCCCGGGATCTTGACGCAGCATCCTGTTTCTTAGCCGTGACGTAGAGCCTGGCAACTCGTAGGAAAAGATGGCACATCTTGTAGAGCTTGTCTGCACCTTCGGAAATTGTGCGGCAAGATTCCAGGCTGCCGACAAATTCGGAAAGGGAGTTTAGATCTGGTTCAACGTCGGACGTATCGGCCTTTTGGATGGAGTGGCAGAATATTACAATGAAACTGCAGGTATGAGTTAGCTGCGACCGTGCGCTGGAAAGCATCAAGTGACTTACGGTGTGAACGGTGCCTGAAGAACCGACCAATGTACATATCCCGACCAGAGGTCCTCCTGACCCTTTTTGTTGAACTGTGCACTAGCCCTCATATGTGCGACAAGGGCCGCTCTCGAGGATTCGAGGCACTCCTGATTAAAGCTCATATTTCCTGGACTGACCGCGCGCTGTATGAGTGCACAGGTAGAATAGTGCATGACGACATCGGAGTGAAAGAAGATGTCTTGGACTCTCTCGAAAGAGCCTTCAACCAAGAAAGTCAGTGCAGTTCAAATCTCGCCGACGGTGAAACTTACCCTGAACGTATTCGTTGACTTCTGATCCTTGTTTACCCTGAGATTTGTGCACATAGCGCTTGTATTGAGACGGGAGTGGTGTCTCATTTGGACTGTTGCCTATTTTGTTCGATCTCGGCGTACCGAGATGATACGTTTGGCCTTGTTGCGAAAAGTCGACGATCGACGCATCCCCACGCTCGTACCAGGCTTGGTTAAGACTGTTGACAAGTTCAATCGCGATTCGCGTGCGCTCTTCCGTAGATCTTGTAAAGGCGGCAGGGCAAAATAGCTTCTCGTATGTCAGGCCCTGGACTCGCGCAACCTTAATCCAGTACGACAAGAAGGCGCTTGATTCGGCGTGCTTGTCGTTAGGGTCGCTGGATACTACAAACGGTAACGATATGTCCCAGTCCTGGAGGATACTTGAGCGACCCAAACGTAGCGAAAGCGTCTTGTCAAGCATGTAGATCATCCAGAAGATATGGATCTTCGTCTGTCTGTCTTCGGGATTGTCGTCTATCATAGTGTTGATTCGATGCTAAATGCAGGACGTTAGCGGTCGTCTCACACGCATTTTGCACATGATTGCTTACATAGCCCAAGCTCTGACACAAGCCCGCAGCGCTGGATATCATGATCCAGCAAAGAGATGGCTTGCACATCTCGACCGCCTGCGCAGCGCCAAGGACCAAAGCCATAATATTCTCGTAGCTTGCCGGTAAGAATATAGCTAGCTGCGACAGTGCTACCTCTGTTTGCCTGCGACTTATGATGGCGTACGATTGATAGTTGGTGGTGTCCATATTGACTAGTGGCAAGGTCCGGAATTCGTTGAACACGTTCTCCAACACGCCGAACGTGAGCACACGGCGAGCGGCGCTACAAGTTTCTGGGTTATGATACACATCATAGAAGATCTCTTTGAGATTGGCCATTCTCAAGAACGGAAACACCACTGCGAAGGCCATAGTTGGATATTCTGGTCATGTCAGATCGGCTTGAATGGTACAAAGTCTGTAGACATACCACTAGCTTTCTCCAAAGCATAGCACGCAATTTCCCAAGGCGGTCGTTCCAGCTTCGATGGGTCAATGTCGACAAGTGACTGGTTGATCAAGGGGTTGGAAGTTGCAGGGTTTTGGCCGTGCTGAGAGACCATCTCCGAAAGAGCAGTAAGTGCCAACTTGACTTCTTCATTCTGTCCAATAGAGGGTGTACTCCCGATCGCTCGTGCCAGCATCTCGCGAGCATAGTCTGACTGGCTATTGATAGAACTCTCGCCCTCGAATGGCGCGGGTGTGGGGGCTTCGACGAGGACACTTCCAGGACTCCTTGAAGGGCCAACTCGGCTCGACCGCGATTGGCTGCTGGATTCATGCGAGTCTTTCTGGAGGTCCAGACTGCCGAGTTTCGTTGCGAGACTGGCAAGAACATTCTCAATACCAGCTAAGCGGTCTTCAATTCTATCAATCTTCTTCTCGCTAAATCGAGTCAGCTCGAACAAGATTACTCAACGCCAGATCAGCACGATTCGATTGTTTGGCCGCGGGGCAAAGAACGGTCGACGGGTAAGGCTGACGCCACAAGCAGCGAGGTCCACTTTGGAAGCGGTTCAGACGTACTATTCTTCAGATATGTGAACCCTTTGTCGCTGCGCTTTCTGTTGAGGGGGAGCTGTTTTGCAAGCTGCACGAATCAGCGGCAACTTCAAGTTCAGGCCCAACAAATCATACTCAATTTGCTTGCCTTGCAGTTGGAACATGGCACGCCTCTGTCGCAACGTATCTTGCGTGTCCGGCAGGCATCGCACTAGATGTGGGTCGTCAATCTGGGCGCTGATCTGGGTGGCTGGCTCATGCGACTTACCGCACGCTTGGACATGGGCCCATCAAGCGACGCATCCATATCGTCGTCTTCCATATTGTCGGCTACGCAATCCGAGCCGCGGTATTCTACGCGTGGTGTGCAAGAGTGGCGGATATTGTGGACTTTATCGGAGCGCGGGCTTCTCGGAACCCGGGGCTGTGGGAACTATCAACGATGTCATCACTAACAGCAGAAATCTCGCACCGACAGGCAGCAGTCCAATATCTCACCAACTAAACCTTCCAGAGTGTCGAAGATACAGGGTTTTGAAGTCTAGATGCAGCATTCGGCCTCACCAGGCATCACTACGAAGAACGCGCGATCTCGTGACTGTGCCAAGGCCCGGGACTTGCCGATTGGCTCGCATTGCTCGTATCCCGCGCCATTTGGGAAATCTTCAGCCGCTTGCGACGCGCCCTCTGATCGCCCTTTTCACCGCGGATCCGGACTTTGCAAAGTCCGGCAAACATGAGCTATGTGCGCAACTTCGACGAGATGGCTTCAGATATCAATGTGGCGCACTGCAGTCCAATCGTCCAAGGACTGCAATACTCACCCCAAACATGTCGACGAGTAAAGAAATGGTCGACACGCCCGAGCAGCGCGCCAGCGATGACGTCAAGACAAGCAAGGCGCCGACAGTCAAAAGCGATGTCACGTCTAAAGAGCCAAAGGGTGGCATGGGTGGCTACGTCGTAAGTGTATTGAACAAATTAGAAGGAACACGATGCTCACGACATACCAGCGCATCTTCAAGTATTCAGATCGTACAAGCTGGATCCTCAACACCATCGCATTCGTTGCAGCCATCGCCGCTGGAACACTACTTCCGTTAATGTAAGAGACATGCACACATCACGATCTTTTGTCTCCTCCATCAATGTTCGAAACGTGGTGGCCTGGATGATTGCGCATTGCTATTGTTTCGTTCATGTGAAATGATAAACATCAATGGAAAGTTGTCCGGGCCTCACACTACGTGTCAAGGACGGTCAAAGATTCTCGCAAGACCTATCGTCGATCAATCAATAATCACACACTAACGGAATCCTCCATCACACAGGGATCTGGTCTTTGGCAAGTTCATCTCGACGTTCACTGGGTTCGCGACTGGCTCGATCACGCCAGCGCAATATCGTGCCGAAGTGAACAAATACACATTGTACTTCATCTACCTCTTTGTTGCGAAGTTTGGTCTCGTCTACATTCACTCGGTATGTGACTAACAAGCTACATCCGTGAAAGCATGCTCACGTTCGCAGGCATTTGTATCCATCGCAGCCATCCGCACCACCAAGGCCTTACGATTGGACTTCATCAAGAGTATTCTCCGCCAGAACATCGCATACTTCGACTCAGATGAAGCCGCTTCGGTCACGACACAGGCTACGACGAACGGAAACAATGTCAACAACGGTATATCGGAGAAGCTCACGTTGACCGTTCAAGGTGTATCGACCTTCGTCTCAGCATTCATCATCGCCTTCATCGTCCAATGGAAACTTACCCTGATAACGATCAGCATCGTTCCTACAATCATGATCGTTGTCGGTGTTTCCATCGGCATTGATACCAAGAACGAGAATCAATTGCTACCGATTTACTCCAAAGCCGGACATCTTGCGGAAGAGATTTTCGCGACTGTGCGCACGGTTCACGCGTTCTGGCTTCATCCATTGCTGTCCAGCAAGTATGACAAGCTTCTTGGCGATGCCCAGGAGGTTGGTATGAAGAAGTCCCCGAACTATGCCGTCATGTTCTCAGTCGAGTTCTTCTGCATCTATGCGGGCTATGGTCTGGCCTTCTGGCAAGGCATCCGGATGTGGGCCAGGGGCGAAGTCCAAGAGAGTGGTATGTGAAGCACCAACCTGGGTCGAATTGTTCCTCAGATCTACCCGATTGATACTATTATGTACTAATCCGTTGACAGGCGACGTGTTTACCGTCATCCTCGCTGTCATTGTCGCAGCAACCGCTATGACAACAATAGCACCTCAGATCATATCTCTGACGAAGGCCTCTTCTTCTGCCGACGAGTTATTCAAAACCATCGATCGGAAGTCCGAGATTGATCCCTTGAGTGTTGATGGCAAGGTGCCTAGCGTGTGTCAAGGTGTTGTCGAGATTCGAGACGTCAGCTTTGCCTATCCCGCTAGACCTGACATCACAGTCTTGAAGAGCTTAACGCTATCTGCGCCTGCTGGAAAGACTACAGCCCTCGTAGGAGCATCAGGCAGCGGCAAATCGACAATCATCGGCTTGATAGAGCGATGGTATGATCAGGCTAGCGGCGCCATATACCTCGACGGTACTGACATACGAGAGCTCAATCTCACCTGGCTACGTACGAATATCCGATTAGTACAGCAAGAACCAGTGCTTTTCTCCGGTACTGTCTACGAAAACGTCGCATTCGGCTTGTTCGGCACCGACAAGGCCAACTTGCCCGAGAGCGAGCAGCGAGCGCTCGTAGAGAAGGCCTGCAAGAACGCTTATGCCGAAGAGTTCATCGAGCGGCTGCCAAAGGTGAGCCATGTTGCTCCTCAGATACTTGCATATGGATTGTTAACGTTGAATAGGGTTATGACACGCAGTTGGGTGAGCGTGCTATGAACCTCTCGGGCGGTCAGAAGCAACGACTAGCCATCGCGCGCAGTATCGTCTCGGAGCCAACTGTCCTTCTCTTGGATGAAGCCACCAGCGCTTTGGACCCAAAGGCAGAGAAGATCGTACAGCAAGCACTTGAGCGTGTCTCTCAAGGTCGCACAACCATCGTCATCGCTCATAAGCTTTCTACCATTCGCAATGCCGACAACATCGCAGTCATGGCTGCTGGAATTGTGGTTGAACAGGGTTCACACGACGAGCTTCTCGCTGCTGGTGGTGCATACGCTCGTCTCGTCAGAGCCCAGGACCTCGGCCAATCAGAGGGCGAAGAGCAGGAAGACCAAGATTTTGCCGCAGAGAAGATTGATCTAGTACGGACGCAGACTCAAGCATCCGCTATCGGCCAAGAAGCGAAAGTTTCCGACAAAGACGGCATCAATTACAACCTGGTGAAGTGTGCCTGGATAGTGCTCAAGGAACAGGGTGCCCTTTGGAAGTGCTTTCTCATATTGGGAATTGCAACACTAGCTGGAGGTAAGTTGTCAACTCGTTTCTTGTTCGACTGTTACTGACCTACCACAGGAGCGACCTACCCAGCTCAAGCCATCCTGTTCTCTCGCGTCGTCGAAGCCTTCCAACTGTCTTCCAAGAGGGCAGTAGAACAGGGCGACTTTTACTCCTTGATGTTCTTCGTTGTCGCAATCGGCAATCTTGTTGTCTATGGCGCTGTTGGCTGGGCCAGCAACGTTGTCGCACAGGTTGTCGCCAGGGTATACAGACGCGAGATCTTCGACCTTGTCCTCAAGCAAGACATGGCATTCTTCGACGATCAAGACAATGCAAGCGGCGCGCTCGCCTCCAAACTCGGAGCCTACCCTGACGCACTGCGCGACCTTATGGGCTTCAACCTGATGCTCATTTTCATCAACATCGTCAACATCGTTTCTTCCTCGATTCTTGCCATCGTGGTTGGCTGGAAGCTCGGTCTTGTAGTTGTCTTTGGAGGTAAGTATCACTTCTCAGTTCTCTCCAGTAATCGACACTGACTTGGCGCAGCTATGCCTCCAATCGTGTTTTCTGGGTACCTCAGGATTCGACTTGAATTCAAGCTAGAAGATCTTACGGGCAAACGTTTCGCCAGCAGCGCTGCACTCGCATCCGAAGCAGTCTCCGCCATTCGCACAGTCTCCAGTCTCGCGCTCGAAAGACACATCCTCGCCCGGTACGAAGATCGACTACGAGGTGTCGCAAGAGACGGCATCAAAGCTTTGGTGTGGACCATGTTTTGGTACGCACTGACGCAGTCCATCTCATTCTTGGCAATGGCCCTGGGCTTTTGGTACGGCGGCCGACTGATCAGCACGGGAGAATACACGACTACCCAATTCTTCACGGTCTTCATCGGTGTCATTTTCTCTGGAGAGGCAGCTGCAGCCTTCTTCTCTTACACTACGAGTCTCACAAAGTCGGCCACTGCGGCCAACTACGTTTTTCGGTTGCGGGCAATGAAGCCTGCAGTGCAGGAAGACGCATCAAAGCCGCCATTTGACGACGAGAAGGACAAGAGTCCAGCGCATATTGAGGTGCAAGACCTTGCTTTCGCGTACAAGTCTCGGCCCCACGCCAAGGTCCTGGAGGGCATCGATATCGATGTCCGCCCCGGTCAATTCATTGCTCTCGTCGGCGCTTCAGGCTGCGGGAAGTCAACAATGGTTTCGCTCTTGGAGAGGTTCTATGATCCCGTTGCGGGGCGTATCACCTGCGATGGCGCTCCGTTGATGGACCTCTGTCCACGCAAGTACCGCCGAGGTGTGTCTTTGGTCCAGCAAGAGCCAGTCCTATATCAAGGCTCGGTCCGGGACAACATCGCCATGGGTGTTGAAGTCGACGTGACTGACGCTCAGGTCGAAGCCGCAGCCAAGCAGTCGAACATATCCGACTTCGTTGCATCTTTGCCAAACGGCTTTGCGACGATGTGTGGTAGTAGAGGCACGCAACTATCGGGTGGGCAGCGCCAGCGTATCGCCATCGCCAGAGCACTCATCCGCGAGCCACGCCTACTGCTTCTTGACGAAGCTACTTCCGCACTGGATACTGAATCCGAGAGGGTAGTTCAGGCGGCGCTCGAGGAAGCGCAGAGTGGACGTACAACTGTCGCGGTGGCGCATCGTCTCAGTACTATCAAGGATGCGGACATGATCATGGTGTTCGCGAGGGGAAAGATTGTGGAAAGTGGCACACATCAAGAACTACTTGACAAGAAGGGTGTGTACTATGAGATGTGCTTGGGCCAAAGTATGGATCGGGCGGTCCCGACATGACGTTCGAAGCACGGCTCATCGTTTCCTCTTCATCTGCACTATGATCGTAAATAGAACCTTTGATAGACTTCGCGATACGTAATATACCCATCTTCAATATTCGACTTGAGGCTGCTGATGTCAATC